TGTTACAATCTCACAACCCCAAATATACTACGTATGAAAATACTAAAAGCTCAAGTGGGTGTGTGTAACAATGAGATTTAATAAATAAAACATTTCTAAACTCAATTACAAATCTAGCTTTAATAAAAAATTGATAAACAACCAAATATGTAAATGTAAAGCTAGATAGAGTTTAGGAAAACTTCTCTATAGATCAAGAGTGAGAGAGAATGGAATGAAGCTCAAACACCAAAGATTATCTCCTCTTGATCTTGTGAAAATCTCTTCACAAACAAACTTGAAACAAACATTGAAACAAACTTAAAACCCTTAAACTCTTTTATAAACTTGTATAAACAATTTTCTTAGGTCAAAACAAAGCTGGGTATGAGGGGGTATATATAGGGAACCCCAATGATCAAGAAAACCTAGCAAAAAGACCAAAAAAACCAAAACAGTACAAAGCTGGGAAAAAACTAGCCGTTACAGTATCAGTCGACTGACGGGTTTCATCAGTCGACTGATGAGCTGACCATAATAGGCATTTTCCAGCTCATCAGTCGACTGACGACCTTATCAGGCGACTGATAACCTCATCAGTCGACTGGTCAGTCGACCAACATAAAAACAGAAACTATTGATGATTCCAGGTGTTTTCATCAGTCGACTGAACACTTTCATCAGTCGACTGATAACACAATATCAGCCTATTTTGAATAGTAAAACTGATTTTTGAAGTACCTTTAAATAACAAATAAATTTTAGAAAAATGTAAAACTTTGGAAAATATTTATAAACATGATAATAAACATGTTACAAGAGGAATTTTTAGAATTGCACTGTAAAACTTTGGAAAATATTTATAAACATGATAATAAACATGTTACAAGAGGAATTTTTAGAATTGCACTTCCCAATTGTTAAATCTTATCATTTTTATGATAATAAACATGTTACAAGAGGAATTTTTAGAATTGCACTTCCCAATTGTTAAATCTTATCATTTTTTAAAATAGTCCAAAACATGAAAGTACAAAACACATGTTTTTGTCATTTTGACTTAAACAAACTTTTAAAACTTTATAAAATAATTTTATAGACTTAATAAAAGATGTATATCATGATTGTTAAATCCAAAAACTAAGAATACAATATTTTCACAAAAATACATATTCTATGCAATATTTTCTTAAACATAATAGAATATGAAACAAATGAGAATACGTATAAATTTGTTTGTTGTTTCATATCAATATAGCTAAACCAAAACAAAACAATAAATATGAAAAATGTAATTTCATATTTGCCATAACTGATACCAAAACACATATGTGTATATATATATATATATATATATATTATATATATATATATATATATATATATATATATATATATATGAGAAAATGAGTATACTTGGTACCAGCACAAATTTTGTGCTTGGTAGTGATGTGTCTCATTCCATCACTCATTCAATTAGGGGACCATATTTAACCCATGTGAATGTGGCCCCATTTGAATGGTGGAGGATAATGTGCCACCTCACTACCAAGCACAAATTTTGTGCTTGGTACCAAGCATACCCATATCCTCTTATATTATATATATATATATATATACCACTTCATCAATATATATATATATATATATATATACACATAGAAACCAAAATTTATATGTGTGTGATATATGATTGAGCTTAGAGTATTAAACACACATAATATAAATCTATACTAAATTATCCAAGCTATTGGTCTTTAATAAGTTCTTGGTTGCGGATGAAGCTTGAATTTGAATCTTTAACTTGAATTGCATTGCTTTACTCTGATATTCCTCCAACCTCCATTCTATCCATCCTCTAACATATTTTTTGTCTAGAATACCTAATAAGAAAACACAAACACTAAACAAACAACATTAGTAATTGTTTCTAATCATTAAAACAAGATTAGGGAGTAGGCTCATAACCATGAGGCTAATAGTTTTGTAAATGTATCTAACCATGCCTCTTTTTTAAATTATCACTAATTGTCTTAAGTAATAGTGGTGATAGTGATGAGAGCCAAATCTCTTGTACAATACTTTAGTAATACCTTTCATCCTATTAGATATCGAATTAATTTTCCTAGGAGGTAACACATTCAGAATATATAATTGAATACATGCAAAAAACTACTCCCAATTTTCACTATTCTCGACCTCCACAACCACAAAAGCTAAAGAAAAATAAGTCACCATCACCATTAACAAGCAATACACCTTTATATTTAGCATATAAGTATGTACCGTTAATGCTAAGAACCGGCCGATAAATTTTAAATCCTTTGATTGAAGGACCAAATGCTCAAAATACAGAGGTGAATTGATGAACTTTCTGATGGGTCTCTTTGGTTATAAGTTTGTATTCAGTTCCAGGATTGCTTCTTTTGATCGCATCAAAAAATTGAGGAAGTGTTGCGTAAGACTTCTCCTAATTCAACAAATATTTTTGTCATCGAGATTCTCCTTGCATTCCATGCTTTACTATATGATATTTCAATGAACCTCATATCTAGCACTCTATCAATTATATTACCGTGAGTTAGTTCAAGCTTCTTCTTTAACTTTGGCATAATCAACCACGCTATATAAGAGGCAGATGCACCACTATGATCTTGCTCTAATGTCAGATTGCTACATGTGTGAACACCGCAGTATTCAGTGATTTTAAAATGCCCATTATGTTTCTTTTTGGCAAATGCATATAACTTCCAAGGACATGCGTAATCAGCTTCATTTCCCTTAACCTGACCTTTTCTTTCTGTATTCATAAAACAAATTGCATCATAACTTGTGCGATTGCTTTTAACTTGCTTAAATTTAACATTCTTTTTGATAGAGTAATCATGAATAACATCAACCAATTGGTCCTTATTCTCAAATAAATCTCCAACTTTAAAAGTCATGTCCTCATCTCTTTTACAAGTTGAACTTTGGTCGCTATCAATATCTTGTACTGTGGAAGAATGAATCCACTCATCATCTTCAAACTCGTTGGGAGGTGGCTCTTCGTAATCAACATATTCATTATTAACATAAGCCTCATCAGACCATTTTGGATTCTCTTCAACATCTTCAATCATAAATTGCATGCTATCAATTGGTGCACTATCTTGTTCTTCGCCTTCAGAGTTGTTGCTTCTTTCATCCTCTTCAATCGTTGCCCCTCTTAACAACCTCATATTTTCATAACGTATTTCATTGTTCATAACATTTGACGTTTCCCCAAATGAATATGCATTTAGATATTGAAATTGAGTCCGCTCCATTTCACTTGAAGAAAAAAGAAAACTATCATACTCGGCTTCCAAATCTAACATATGTGAAAATTCTCCCAAAGGTTTGAGCATTTGGCAAGAACTACATGGAAACTTTTCAATAAACAGTTCTATTATTTTATTGTGACTTGCTCAAATTAAAAATAATACTTATATGATGATCATTTGAGATCTCAACTGCAGACGTTCTATCAAAAGTTATGGGTCAATTGCATATTATTTTTAGTCAGTACTCTCGTGGATCAATTTCAGTAACTCGATGTAATTTCTTAATCAAGTCATAGTAACTATATGATTCCGAGATCATTAACCTCGTTGTTACCCCTTCAACGTACATTAGCATTTCATTCATTCTATAATTAATTTTCCCACCGTAAGAACAAATAATAAAAACCATATTGTTCAAGCTATGAAACAAATTAGATTATATCATTTAAATGTAAAAAGTTTAAATTTTTTTATCAGGCCATTGAATAAAAGAGGAAAACCCTAGATGCAAACAATCTCATAATTGTATAACTATAATTTTGATCAAAAACCCTAAACCCCAAAATGAAAACCCTAAACCCTAGAAATGAGCATTCTATGTCCTAGAATTTTAATTTTAATTAAAGCAATCCACACACAAAGACTGATAATCACCACAAAGATATCTAATGATATTAAATTTTAAACTCCATAAATTAGATTTTGATGAAAACCCTAGATTTGAATGTTGAAGAAGAGAGAAAAACCCTAGATTTATAAATGTTAAAAGAGGAGAGAAGGAAGAGAAATTACCCTAGAGATCTTTTGCAAACTTCCTCCTTGAATTTCGGCCACAAAACGGGGTTGGGAGACTTGGGTAGGCGGATGAGAATGAGAGATCGGAGTTAGAGAGAGAAAAACTCGGTATTGTGAGGGAAGAGGGGTTCGGTTGGTATATATAAGCAGGCGAGCCCCACCATAAATAGTCAGGGTTGGTAAAGCCGACTATTTGGTCCCTTGGCCGATTCCGCATTTTCGAGCAAGGGGGAGGGTCTACCAAATGATCGGGGTTGGCAACCCCGACCATTTTGGTTGGGCAGCTGCAAAATGATCGAGGTTGGCAACCCCGACCATTTGGTGGGCATCTTCAGAGCTGTTGGGGAAGTGTCCAAATATAAGCGTTGGAAAACCCTACCGTTATGGTCATGTTTGGCAACCCCGAAGAGTTTGACCCCTAATTCTCCTTGCTAATCCTGCAAGGAATGGGAGGTGCTCCTAATTAGTTAGGATTGGCAACCCCGACTTATTGAGAATTCGATTTTTTTTAAACAATCCACTTTCTGGCCACCATGCTGACGTGGCCAGGAATTGAATCGATTTTTATAATAAAGTTTGGAATGTGTCGATTTTTGGGATAAAAGTTTAGATTGGGTCTGTTTTGAAATTTTCTTCAATATCAAAAGCATGGGGTTAATTCAGAATAGAAAGATTTAATTAAGGGTCTTGTACTTATAAATAATCAAAGAAAATGGACGAAACCCAACACGCGGGCCGCACGGGGTCACACAGCCCCATCAGATATCGTTCGAAACCCTAAACCCTCGATCTCCTCCGATCCCCGCAGCCTCCGCCCGCCTCTCCTTCGCCGCCCCCAGGTAACCGAATAAAACCCTAACCCTAACCCTAGAAATCTCGTCTTTACGTCGAAACTCTTAAAATTTTGACGATTTCCTTCAGATCTCTCGGTGCACTCGGATGCGCTCAGTCTCTGCTACCTCTTCACAGCGTCGTCGCCGCCGCTCGCCTGACGTCTCACCTGTCGGTGAGCGTTAGGGCCTGCTGTGAGCTCTCCCAGGGTACCTTCTGCCGTACTTGTCAAGATCGCTAGTATTTTTCTCTCTCCTTTGTGAGTCTTGTCATTGATCTATCCATTTAGGTCATGATTGAAGAGGGAATTTTTTTTTCTTTTACGAGTTTTAATGGTTTGTGTGGGCGTCTAGGTGCTTATAATTTGTTTTATTTTTGAAAAATTGAGTTTTTGGTTGATACGAGGGTATTGAAATAGGGAAAAATGGAAAAGATGGTTGATTGCAGAGGGGAGGACTGAGGCTGATGCCTGCTTTCTAAGAGCTTGTAGGTTTTCCTCATCTTTTCCTAATATTGACTTCATTCCTCAAATTAAGTAGATAGGGGCTTAAATAAAACAAATCAGATGGGAGAAAGTTTAAGTTGAATGATTAGAAGCGATTTTTCCATATTTATGGGTACTTAGTCGTGTGTTTTTTAAATTTGTAAATACTTGTCTTTTCATGCTGTTAATGCTCGGTTTTTCGACAATGGGGATATGCCTAGTGCTGTGAATTTAATTTGACCGCTCTTGCAATGATATGATTATTATATAAGTTTAATTCAACTCCTTTGATTTGATTTGATTTGATTCTAATTCTAAAGTTAAGCTTATTCGCCAAATACATAGAGAAAATGCATTATGTGACATGTACTTGAGCAATTAGAAGAGATATTCATACTTGCCATTATGAGCTGATGTTATTTGAAGATGCAAGGTTGATATTTTGTTAATTATTATATCATTGTATCATTTTAATTAAATTTTTGTTGATTCGAGGAGCTTAAAATTGAGATTTGATAGGGAGGAATGGTAAAGATGGGTGATGCAAGAGAGGCCAACATTCAATGGAAGCTGCTCTTTCAACTTGTGTAGGTTTCTTCTTCTCTTAATCATCCTTCCCATAAAAAATGGTTAGGGTAGCATCAAAACAATGATATTTGGACAGAAAACAAAAGCTGGAAGATAAACGCACTAGATGTTGGAGACTACAATGTTACGTTAGTTTCTTGTACTTTTTGTTAGTTATTTCTCTTCACCGTAAAGAAGAACACAAATCATAAATGTTATCTTTATCTTTCTTAAGATTTCGTGTGTAATTTCTGAAGGAAATTCGGACAGTTATACATCTTCTATTGTCATATGGCATTAGTGATACGGAGTGAAGGGTCAAGTGTTCTAAAAGCGGAAGGCAATGTCAATAGGATGAAGTTCTATGTTGCCTGAGTGAACAAACGTAATTATACTCAAATAAGTAAGAAACATTACAATTTCTATGCAGTTAAACTCTTATCAATAAATCTCAATAGGGTTTTTTTTTGCAATTGAATTTTTTAAGTCACAACTTGTAGCACTTAACAATATATAAATCATCTAAATAAAGTAGTTGGTAAAGAATATTGAATAGTTATAATATTATACTAACTAGCAACTATTGACATAGATAACTAAACTACAAAGTTAACGAAACGACAATGTTTGAACTTTTAAGGTTCAAATTGTGGCATGTCCTCAAAATGATATATATAAGTAATAAGGTACATTACAACAAAAATGGCAAAGACTCAACCAAGAGAAAAGAAGCAAAAAATTGGTAAAAATAAATGTTACTTTATCAAACACTTCTCGTACTCTCGAAATTTTAAAATCGCAGCAGACATCTTTTGCTCCTTGTCATACATGCTTTAGGCAAAGCGTCTGAGGAGCAAAGGCAATCTCTTGAATCATCAATTGGTGCTCGACTTTAGTAACTTTCATCGCCTGGCAATATGCAAGGCGCTAGGTACAATATCGCTTTGCCTAGGCACTTAAGGTGCTATGGTGCATCCCTTTCAAAACACTGGTGCAAAGAGATTCATCTTTTTGCCCTTTAAGCATAGTCTTACAACCCTATGAGATCTTCCAAGAACCAATACAAAAGTGACAATAATTTTAGAATCATTCAATTGGCTTGCCGAATTTGGATTCTTTGTAATATTTGGATTCCGGAACATGCCTACATTCGTCTATGTATGCTTCTTTCCATCATCTTGCTTTATGACAACATCTTCCGTGCCCATGATTTTACAACCCCGACAAATACCAAGATAGACAACTTTATCATCAACATGTTATAAGTAGAGAAACCCAAGTGCCGGCACAAGAGGATTTCTTTTATGCAACACATAATGTAACTCCGCAATCTGCTTCCAAGGCGGTTTTTACCTCACCATCATCATCTTTGCCATTGTACTTTTGCTTCTTCAATTGTCGACAATCCTTTCTTGTATGACCCGACTTCTCGGAATGCCAACTGGTAAGCTTTGGTCTTGTGACTTCGACATTCATTTGCTTTGACATCTCCCTCTTATAGACAATTGATTCTTGCCCTTTCAAGTTCACTCGACAATGAAGCAACATCACTCAACTTGAACCTGTTCTGCATTGTATTAGCCATGGTAGTAAAGAGAGTATCCCGACTTGAAGGTAAAGAACTCAAGAGGAAGCTTAGAACTTTTCCATCGAGGTTTGACCTTGAGAGACTTCAATTGTGGTGCCATTGAGTTGAATTCACTCATATAATGCTTCTAAATGATAGAACTTTCTTGCATGTTCAAGAGAAATAGTCTATTTATAGCATGCATCTTGTTCACACTCGATGGTTGCTCAAACGAGTGTTCGATGCTTTCTACAACTCCGGTGCCATCTTTGCATTGATAGACATCAAATAAGATGATTGGTGAAATGCACAGTCTCATCGCCTCCAAACACTACCTATCAAGTGTTTGCCCTCTATTCAGTCTTCCGTACTAAATGGTGTGCGATTTGCCTTGAAGAGGTAGATCAAGCTTCTTCACCATTAGAATGCCCTCCATCATTATCTTCCATATGACCCAAGTGCTCTCATTTAGCTTATCAACCTCCATTGTTTCTCCATTGTCTTTTCCATATCCACCCAAAACGAAAGAGACCAATAATCTCTTTCAAGCAATTCAACAACCACCTTGCATGTTTGCACTCAAACAAAACAGAAGAGAGCAAAAATTCCCTTTCGAGCAAAATGAGAGCTTGAGCAACTGGCTAGCACAAATGGGTCCATGGGTGGGGTTTGACTTCACCCACGCGGACCCAACTACAACAAAATGCACATCTAGGACCTATTCAATGTTTATCTTTGATAAAAAAAGACCAAGACACAAAAATCAAAGACATACACAACAACTACAATTGAAGATGCCCACAATAACAAAACAAGTTCAATTACTAATCCATTATCAAGTTGGAATGCAACTCTTCATATAGAACCATGCAACTAGTTTCATCAACAAGCAACAAACTGACTGTAGAACAATTCTTCACCAAGTATAGTCATAAGCAACAACAAAAGAGTTTTATCATTTATTTAATTCCACCTAAAGCATTAACGAGATCATCAATACATGTGTAGCTTTAGCCATGCATTCTTTTTGTCCTAAGCCTTTGCCTTCTCTAGCAGTTTAACATGACAATCACAGTGAGATTTCTCGAGATGGCGACTAATGACTATACGAATCGCCACAACAGCTTAGTCAATTTTGCATCACTTGCCATTCAAATAGAAAAAGCTCGCAAAGACTCCCATTTGCTCGATCGTGCACCATTGCCTCTAACCCTTTCTGCAAGAAGTTTTCACACCATTTGGGAGATACTCCCACTCAAAGTCACGGGTTAGCAGATAAGCATTGTTCACAATAGTTGCAAAGAAAATGGAAGGAGTGAGAGAAGAAATTTAGGGTTTAGGATCAATTTAGAGACTTAATTAATTTTGTGATACTTGTTGTTTTTGCGAGATTAGGGTTGGTTTATTTATTTATTGGGCTTTTTCAAAAGTAGTCCTTAAATTTTTTTATTTTACCTCGATCATTGATATTGTTACTACTCTTTCAAACCTGTCTAGGTTATCAAATTTTATTCCTTCAAATAAATGGAATTGCTAATAGGTCCCCTTATCCTCATAAATCCTTCAAATTAGTCCCTTTAATTGGTCCCCTAAATCTTTACTGCTTTGACTAGTCTTAAAATTGCTATTTAGTCCTGGAATCTTATTACTTATGCTAAATTAGTCCCTATGTTAGTGGGGTACTAAGTAAGTTGTTAGGTTGGGTTATTTGTTCATGAAGCCATCATTTTTATCAAGAAATGGCCATGTTAGTTTAATGAGAGTATTTGTTATAATTTGTAGGATTTATTTTTTATTTTTTATTTAAATATGATAATTTGTATTATGTGCTTAATTGTCTTTTATTAGTTTAATGATCACAACTGAAAAATAGATTCATAATTACTGAAAATTGTTGTGCTTAGAATTAATGCTTCATTGTCAGTGTGTTTGAGAGTTAATGGCAAAAGGAAGAGCATTCGTTACAATCAGTGAGCCATGAAATTTACCAAAGCGCTTCTCATTTCATAATGGTCCTTTTTCATTAAGTAGACGGTGGTTAACAAGGTGATCATAAGCATCTCACTTGCCAATTTGAACCCACCTCTTGATCGTTTCAGTAGTTACAAAAAATTATGAGCTTGCACAATGCAAATATCTAGATCACATGTCCATGTTGTTAGCCCTTAATTCCCATTTTTCTTTTCTTAGTAAGGTGATATAATTAGGAGAATATAAAATAACAACTTTGATTATAGGCATTGCTTAGTTACTAACTTTTATTGTGTACAGATTATCTGTTTACTTAATCCATATATATAGATGATATGGCAATATAAGCTTTTATATTCTACTTTAGGTTGCTTCTTGAGGACATCTAAACACATTATAGAATTCTTTTGATAATAATACCTCTAAATTTTCTTTCTTTTACTCTTAGAAATTGCAAATATGATGATGATTTATGGATTTATTATAATTTGTTTATTTGCACTTTTAATGAAGTTTTTATTATGTTTTAAAGTCAACAACCATATGATGGGAAGATCAGCGAGCAGAAAGACATGCTTTTTGACGAATTTTGTTTGGTTATGTCGTACTATCTGCATTTATAAGCTAACCCTTAGTTTAAGAATTAGTATATAATCTAATGTAGAGGAATGAAGAACCTACGTACGTTGCATAGGCATCAAGGGAGTTTGAGGCTGATATATGAGAACTCAACTCTCCCTTTTCTTGTTAATATTTAGTGCGAGGAACGAATTTTAGTGAGGGTAGAACATAATAACCTAGAAATGTTTATTGGTTACTGAGGTAGTATAATGGAACTCTAGAAATGACTAAATGAGATTGGAGGCTGGAAAGGAGTCGTCACAAAGGGCTAAGTGTGAATAATAAAATTTAGCTAAAACCATAGTATAATGGAACTCTAAGCAACCACAGCTTGACCTGAGCCACACGTGGGTTTGTTGCCGGGTTTGTTACCACCATGGGTCATCAACCACAGGCAGTTTTCTGCCAGCAACAAGCCCCCTTAGTCGATTTCACCATAGAAGTTCAACTCTCTAAATCAGTGTTACTAAAGGGCGCGCCTCATTGTGCCCATGTACCAGCGATGCGAGGTGGAGAGGAAGCGCCCTGCATTAGCATGTGCAAGGCATGACCTCGTATGTTTTCTTCTTTAGCATTTCAATCGGGTCTTTACACTCGATAACCCGTATCCTAAGAAGAAAAATAAATCCATTTGGCCCTATTAGTAGCTCAATTAAGGACTTTAACTCGTTCTCATTTATTATTTGATTTTGCTTCGATATTAGTCTTTATTGGACTTTTGATATTTAAAGCTATGAACTTCGCTACTATGTTGGATGTCTTAGCATTATGAATTAAGACATTATCTTGTGATTTGGTAGTAGATATTATTTAGCTTGACATACTTCTAATATGAAAATTCATAAATGTGTTCTTTTGGGCTTAATTATCAATCTTGAAAAATTATGTATCATGTGCGCCTCGCTTCACTTGGGCGCACACATCACATTGCTTTGCGCATATGTGTATATAGGGACACTGCACCCCACATTGTGCATCTGTACATTAATAACACTGCTCCAAATCTAGATCCTAGTTCTCTTTGTTACGATGAAGCATAAAATAGATACATATACATGCATACATACATATATACATGATACATATGCTTGTGTATATATATGTATGTGCTCGCGGCGTGCGCATAGATATGTTACACATGTATGTGCACACATATACATGTACACATAGGCATTCATGCATGCATGCATGCATGCATGCATACAAATTGCCACCTCACGTGGCAAATTGTGCAACCAAGAGATGAAGCGTTGAGGGCTATTTCCTCCAGTGTGACTAGTAGGTTGATTATCACCACTATTCTATCTCTTGGTAACTCATTTGGCAACAAAAACAATCCTCTCATACCCAATAATTCCATTCGTCATGCTTGCATCACTGCTAATGTCGCTAATAGCTACCAATAGATAAAGTAATTGCTAGTCTTACCCTGCTAGTATCTGAATGTGGTGACCCTCACCACCAATATATCCTGCTAGTTCATTTTGCTAAATGAGGTGGCAACTTGTCCATCATCTCATGTATATGTGGTCACCCGTGTGCGTGCATGACATCTCATATCCTTCTTTGAGTTGCGACCACTAATTGCATGAAATTCATTCTCAACTACATTGACTGAATAATTAACTTATCAACAATTGCATTATTCGTTCAGTCATATGAAAATTGTATTTTGTCGAATTGATTGCTTTTATATTGACCATAAATAATTAATTTCTCGACGTTTTCATTATTTGTTCAGCTGTGTAATAATTGTATTTTGTGGGGTCGATGTTCTCATTTAGTTTGAAAATTCTATTCTTTAGTTGCCAGTCTCCTTGATCATGCTGCTAACCGTGATGATTGGTCTTCTGAGTTCTTGATTTTATGGAACTCCGTGACACGAGTGCATGTGTTTGTTCTTAGCTATTATGTGTAATATTCATCACATTTCTCACTTTTGTTTGCTGATGCAATGTTTTTCTTTGTTTTGCTTCTTTTTTACTTTTTTAAATCATTTCAATAATTGTCAATCTTTGCATACTTATTGCCAAATGTGCACAACTAAAATAATTGCATTTTATGCCTGTGATGATTTAACTTTTTCAGGTCACTGGAAATTGTCTTTAAAACTTGGATGTTGGATCCTTATTTGAGTTGTGCCTGAATACATGGATTTTGTTCTTAGCCATTCTGACTGTGGAGTAATTAATTTCTCAGCAATTTCATTATTCACTTGATTATGTTATATTTATATTAAATGTATTAAATGTTTTCTTTTCGTTTAAGAGTTTCCATTTTTTAGTTGTGCACTGTGTTTTATTTTGCTGTGTAACCATGACATTTAATTTTCCAAGTTTTGTGTGGTACTCTATAAAATAATTGCATGTGCTAGTTCTTCACTATTATTTGTTACATTATCACATTGCTGACTTTTATTTAACAAGTTTTGTGTGTGGAACTCTATGAAAATTGCCTGTGCTAGGTCTTCGCTATTATTTGTTACATTATTACATTGTGACTTTTTTTAACAATATAATCATCTTATCTTTTTTCCCCTTGCTTTATTAAATTATTTTGACTAATGACAATGTTACATACTGAATCACCATTAAAAGAAACAGTTATGAATAAAATTTTCGTTTGGTCTATCACTATTTGTGAGATATAAACCTAGGTTTGTAAAGTTGGGACCTGGAATTAAAAGATTTGCAAGATAGTTTATGGAATTGCGCTTACAAATTCCTGAGAGCAAATGTTGTATGAGTTACTTTTCTTTCTTTCCTTTTTGAACTGCCACTTTCACGTCATTTTGGTGAGTTCAGCTATTAACTCCTATATTTGATAAATGTGATATTCACTAATTCTAACTCCAGTTATAATTGCTGAACTTTTTTTTTTCCTTTTCTTTGAAAAATGTTACTGACTGCTGAACTTTGCATCTACATTCTCATAGTCCAAACTTTAACCCATCAAAAATATTAGCGAAAAATGTTCTAACCGCGTTGATTGATTTTCTAAGTTTTCTGGTTAATAGATATTTATAACGCAGTTACCTATGTTATTTCTTGCCTAATATTTTATGTTACATTATCACATTGCTCACTTTTACTTACTGATGATAATGTTTTACTTTGTTTTCTTTTCTTTCTACTTTTTAAAAAATCATTTAACTATTGACAAATTTTGCATATCTATAGCCAAATTTGCTGCTAAACATAATCGCATGTTGTGTCCATAAAGATTTAACTCTTTCAGGTCACTGGGAAAAATATGGAAGTCAAATCCTTATTTAAGTTTCTAATTAAATAGAGATTGTTCTCAACTATACTGACTGTCGAGTAATTAATTTCTCCGCAATTTCATTACTTGTTTAATTCTGTAATATTCTTGTTTGTGATGTTCTTGTTTGTTGAATTGAACTGTTTCTTTTAGTTAAAGAATTCCCTTTTTTTAGTTCACTCTTTGATTGTGCTACATAACCATTGACTTACTTTTTATGAGTTTTCTGTTTTATGGAACTCTATGAAACAATTGCTTGATAGTTATTTGCTTGAATAATGTTGACATTTACTGAAGGGACATTGCATCTTGTTTCTTTTTTCCTTTCTACTATTTTAAATAAGTTTGGCCAACTACAATGTTACATATTGAAAGTGGTATAATCGCAACTAAATTTTTACAGTTATGAATAAATTGTTGTTTTTGTCTTAATTATTAATCTAATATGAACCTAGGCTTGTAGGGTTGTGATCCTGAGTAAAAAAGATTCACAAAATAGTTCATGAATTTTTACCTACATTAACCCATAAAAAATGCTTTACCAATCCCATGCGAGATGTATTGCTACTTGGGAAAAGATTATTTCTTCTTGTATTATGGTTGAAATATCCTCTGATAACTCTCCTCTCTTTTTTCCCCCAGGTACTTGAATGCAGTAGGATTGAAATTAAAAAAAAAAAACAAGAAGAACAAGGATGGTATCTAGCACGGAGTGGTCTCGATGGGATGTACTGAGAGCGGGAAAAAAAACTCTTTTACTAAAATTACTTTTAAGCTTTTTTTAGCTACAAGCTTGGGACAAATCTGTTACTTGTTTTCCTTGGTTCCCAGTTCTGAGGAGTTTAATAAGTTATTGATATTGTTTCTACACCATTTATTAGTTGATTCGTAACTGTGATTTTCCTCTATTGGAGCTTTTGAGAATTTGATGACTTTTGATTTGTACAGTATCATCTATAACTTTAGCTATTGTGGATGTGCTGCGCATGTTCACAATGGAAAGCAAAAAACAGTTTGCCATTTTTTTTTGTTTTTGCGTATTTCCTATGATATGCCTAACGGTTGAATTCAGTCTGTGGAGGCCAGGAGGTGTGTAACTCAAGCCTAAGCAAGACCTTTCCATGGCCACGCAAAATGGAAAGAAATATTTGGGTTCAGCATTTGATACTCAACCAACAATAGGAAAGAACGAAAAGATATTTAATTGCCTATTCACTTGTCAAATAAAATGTTTTTGTTTTCCTTAAGAAGCTTTGTTTCCCAAGTACGAAGAAGGCGAAACGACACAAGAAAATAAACAGGGAAAGGAAAAAAAAAGAAGGGGTAAATATTGTAACTGACAATCCACGATTATTTTAGGGGTGTTTCTGAATTTTTTTTTTTTTAAATTGAAGAAGATTTTCAAAAAAAATCCCTAAACTTCACGAGTTTTCTAATACTTTGAAAAGTTTGGGGTTGGGGGAGGTGGGGCCTGGGGGTGAGGGGGTTAACGAAGTTTTCTGTTAAAAAGTTGAGAAAGAGGTAAAACCAAAATTTTGATTTAAATTTTCTATTTATCCATGTTTTGATTTGATAAGCATTTCAAAGAATTTGACTTTCAAAATTTTCTATTGAGGATCATACTTGAAGAATGGTTAGTGATACATATGTCAATTTGCAACTGGATAGATACACCACATCATAAACTTAATAAAGTTAATGCATTGGATACTTTCTTTAAAAAAAAAGGTTCGTGATTAATATGAATACAGTTTTGACCTTAGAAGTTATGTGTAACTAACTTAGATACACACATGTGAAAGTGCATGTTAGCTCATTCTTATTGTAAATCCAAACCATTCATTGTTAACTACATATCATCTAATCTAAATGGATTAAAGTCAAGTGTTTTGGAAAATTTTATGTTATAATTCAAGCAACTAAAAATAATTGATGCTCAAAACGACAAAACCGTTATAGACAGTTCATTTCTAGAGCAATAGATGTAGAAACTAGAAGTGTAGTATCTATGTGATTTATTATCTTCATGAAGTTTAAATGCATAGATCACAACAAACGTTGTGGATTATTAATATCGATGGTCAAATATACCTTTTTGTAGATGAATATAACTTGAGTTAGTTACATTCCATGTATTATGTAACCATATCTATTTTCATCAGGTTGAAAGCGTGTACCAACCAACTACTCATTGTAGGCGTCAAAAAATGCTAATAGATATCCCAAACATAGAGAAGATCACTCAGGGATCTCATATTGAAAATCAAAGCAGGAACAGCATTTACTGTCTCGCTGAGCGAGACAGCAAATTTACTGTCTCGCGGGTCGAGACAGCAAACGCTGTCTCGCCCAGCGAGACAGTAAACACTGTCTCGCCGTACTGACTTCTTCGATTGTTAAGTTTTTGCAGTTACTGACCCTTGAGGCTATAAATACCCCCCTAGGGTCACTTCTGACGAGGATCGAGCATTTGTTAGAGCATTCCAGAGCAGAGAGAGCAGAGATTTGGGTTCTTTTCTTGCAACGCCTTGAAATTAAGCTTTGACTTGATTTTAAGAAGAACGACTATCTTACTTCGATAAGATATCGTTTCAATTTCTACTTCGATAACGAAGTTAGAATCATAAGCCCCCTCTTCACGATCTGTGAATCGGCGGTCCACGAACCAAAGCGTTCCCGGCACAGGCAAAGTCCCACGAAAACAAAGATCGATAGACGATTTTTGTGTTTGTTTCTCAAGAGTTGTAATTTTCGTTTTGTTGTGTAGAAAAGGTCTTATAAAAAGATTATTCTTTCGAATTTGTTGTAATCGAACAAAGTTATAATGAATTCCTCAACAGAACCGACTTTTGAACCAAACAAGCTGGCGACCACAGTGGGAGCCAGCGGCCTCGCTGCCGAGGCCGCGGTGTCGCAACCAATCAAGATCGTTGTCAAAGAAGAGATCGAATACGAATTCGATCAGGCGAAATTTGAGGAGTACTTGTCGTCCTCATCATCAAAACTTTCCTCGCCCCGCAAATGTAGGAAAGTTTCATCTCCCAGAAAAAAGCTCAAGTCTGCAGTGTCAATGAAGACCGCAGGTGAAAGTTCTTGCCCGGATGTTGCTAAAGAATCTACTTGCAACATCTCTGCTCCGAACGACTCCACACCCATTCAGGAGTCGATGATGAATAGCTCGCCGGTGCTGACGAAGAGGGCTCGTCAGAGACAGCGTCAGCGCCGTGCTCGACAATTGGCTAAGGCCATGCAACAAACCGACGGGGTCCATTACTATACAGACCTAGAGTCGAGGAAGCAGAAAATGACTCAGTTGCCTCAACGGCAAAATAATCATATTTCTGCACAACTTACGACGGAGGAGTGGACTCTCATCAAAAGGGCCTGTTCAACCCTTAAGGAACGGATACAAAGGCGTAAAGCGAAGGCCGCCCATGCTCGTGCTCTTCGTCAACAAGTCCAAGGAACCAAGAAAGAGACGGTGTCTGAAAAGCCACCGAAGAATCGTAAAGTTTGGATGCCAAAGACGCCGCAAGCATCTGTTCCGGGCCCATCTACTGCATCGGCAGTAAAACCCTGGGTTAGCCCAGACTTGTCCAAGTTTAAGATAACAATGGCAGATCGCCTCGGTCCTTCAGTTGACAATCGAGGCAAAGCCCCGGTCAAGGAAGATCCAAGTCCAGCAAATAAACCGTTAATGGTTTCATATGCAGGGGGTCGTAAACACCCTCCTGTCAGAACTGCACAAGTCCAAAACGAGAGAATACCAGTTCACTCTCGTTTAGGACCTCTGAAAACTCCACACCCGCAAGGGGGTGGATTTAAAAATTCAACTTTGGATCGCTCAGAGGCGACGACCAGTCGTCCTGTGCATGTTAACAAAGTTCAAAGGCAAAAGATAGGTTGCTCAAATCACAATAATGATGAGTTGTACTATCAGAAAGATAACTCAAGAAAGAGAGTTGTCAGAGAAAACGAATCTCATTGCGCTTGCGAGAGACTCATTAAAACAGTGTTGACAGAATGCGGATGCTCTAAGAATAATTCAACAAGATTCTCCGTATTTCAAAGATTGTCCAATGAAGCGTCAAGACCCAAAACAAGACATTTCAACAAAAAGAAATCTGTAATCCGACAAGATGAGCTTCCTGAGGTCACTATCAACATGACCAATAAAGGAAAGCAAAAGTCAGTTAACTACGACCCTGATTTCTCTCCGGGAGGGAGAGTTGAGCAGGGTCTTTCTCAAAGGATGGCGCGATTACTATCTTCAGATGAAGAAATGTCAGATACTTGTTCCGCCATTGCATCGGACGATACCGCGTCCAGTGTTGGGCGAGTCAGAGAATCGTTTGCAATCATGCCGGATCAACTGACTCACATACTGCAGGAAGCGTTGGCTAAACAACGCGAAGAAATCAGAGCTGAGTTCAAAACCGAAATGGAGTTGACTATGCAGCAGATGCGAGACTTACAGGTTCAGCAACACTAACCGGAGTCGAGCCAGAAGGCGGAATCCAGCAGGCGTAATGAAGAGGATGAGACTATCTTTGATGATCCTCCTCCAGATAAAGACAACTCATCCGACCAAGTCAGCCACTCAACCTCCACAGATCTATTTGAAGAAAAGCGAGGAAGAGGACAAGAAGATGCACGATCTTGAGAGCAAAGTCAACGCTTTGATGACGGCTCAAGAAGTGAAGAAAACGGGCATCCCATACCCGTACCCGAGGGAGTGGGACCTGATTCCTTATCCCCAGAAGTTTAATTTGATTAACTTTACTCCTTTTGATGGCAGGGGTTCACCAACTCAGCACTTGATCTATTTCAAGTCGCATCTCGGCGCAATATCCGAGAACGAAGCCCTGATGGTCCGGTCATTCGTAGGAACCCTTCGCGGGCCTGCCTTCGATTGGTACCGACGCCTTAAGCCCAGGAGTATCATTAGCTGGGAGGATATGGAAGAACTATTCCTCACCAATTTCTTCGATGATGACATAGAGGTCTCAATTGGCACGTTGTTGGATGAAAAGCAGAAAGATGGGGAATCGGTTGACGTCTTTGTCAAACGATTCCGGGACAAAGCGGTGAACTGCAGAGATCCACTTACGGAAGAGTTCATCCTACAGACATGTCACAACAACTTGTCATTGGATGTGTTAGAAGTGATGGGGGTTGTGCCCTCTAAAACTTGGAAAGAATTGAAAGTGAGAGGTGAACAGGCTGAACGCTTTCTCAAGAGGAAGAACTTGGAGAGAGGTCTGCCACCAGCTAATAATCAAAAGCAGAACTTTAATCCTCGGGGTAGAGGAAGAGGGTCCACGGCAGCTGTGGATGCACATCAAACGTCGCAGCAGCCGCCGCAACAACAACCGCAGCAGTCATCCTTCCAACTGGCGCCAAATCAGAATCAGCAGCCCCCGAGGCAGCCCAAGACTTCTGAGCCTAGATTCCCGAAGGAATACTCATTCAAAGATGATGAAGTTCCGGTCATCTTCAAATACTTGTTAGAGAATAACAAGATCAAGCTTCCACCGGTCACAAACCAAGAAGAAGCAACGAAGACCAATGACCCGAAGTATTGTGCCTATCACAGGAGGGTCCACCATCCCACTAAGACGTGTTATGTCTTGAAAGACAAAATACAAACCTTAATTGATGTTGGTATTGTGACGCCGAAGCCAAAGGAGAAGAAGGTAGGCGCAAACGCGGTCTCTATCAGCTTCGGGTCAGTTCCTTTGTCCTGGTTTCAAGCCGAGCCAGTGTCGAAGGTCAAAGTGCAAACCATCAACGATGATCCTTACGGACAGCGTCAAAAGGGGCTTGTATCTCACACAACCCCCAACGGGAAAAGAGAAATCTTGTTACGGAGCCTCGGCGATTCCCGAGAAGAACGATGAAGAGATAGCAGCTTTATCACTTTCTGATGGAG